AAGCCTGAACGCAGAAGGTGAGGGGGGTCTGTGGGCAGGGAGGGGGTTTGGAATCCCACGAAATAGAGAAAGATGAAAGTGAAAAGGGAGAGAAAGTGGAAAAGCGGGTCAGAGTGAGATTTGGAAGTAAATGTCTTTGACTTAATGGAGTACGTAAAAAAAAAAAACAAAAAAAACAAAAACTCTTTTTTAAGTGCTGGCCCACCCTGTTTGTAGAGAGTGGCATGACAGAAATAAAAGCAGCGACAGCCTTATAAGCAGTAGTCATTCTCCAGATAGATGGGATAGCTGATAACAATTAGAGGAATTTAGAAACTGCCATGGTGGTCAGCAAAACAGACGGATTTCTGTGCTTGTCCTGTGGTCAGGAATAGGGAAGTGTGAGTGTGTGTGTGTGTGTTTGTGTGTGTGTGTGTGTGAGTGAGTGTGTGTGTGTATGTGTGTGTGTGTGTTGAGGTCCCAGAGCTGCTGCAAGAAAGAAAGGCAAGACTGTAAGAAGTATGACCACATTATGACTAATTAGCTATTAATCATTAATATAATTAATGGTACTATTAGTTAACAAGGTAGCATTTATCCAAGCTCAGAGCCAAAAGAGTGTCTGCAATTAAAAGTGCTTAGGGTACAAGGAGAGGAAATGACTTGGCAAGAAGGCTCCATAGGAAAGACCCAAGGTGGCATCCCTCGGTCAGGATAGCCCTTTCCCACCAGGAACAAATTTCCGAAGTTCTCCAAGCCTTAACTGGAAGTCCTTCCTTTGTTTCTACAGCTATTTCTTTTACTTTGTGTGTATGTATGCTTTGCCTGAATGCATGTATGTGCACCTATGGCTGTTTGTCAGATCCCCTGGAACTGGGCTTATGGATGGTTTTAGGCCCCCATTTGGGTGCTAGGAATTGAACCCAGGCCCCCTGTAAGAGTACCAAGTGCTCTGAACTTCTGAGCCTTCTCTCAAGCCTCCTTTCATCATTAAGCACATACATTATTAATGTTCTTTCACTAAAGCTGACCCCCACACACACACACAGCATGGAAACAACATAGAGATGCAGCTAACCTTTTCTCCCAGTACATTGACCATAACCTCCATTTGCCCAAGTCCTCCAGAGAATAAAATGACCTGAGTCTGGGACAAAGTTAAGAAAGCAATCGAAACTTTATAAATACAGGGTCCAAGAGCTGACTCTGTCTTTGGCCCCTACCGAAAACAGATGTTTGTATTTTATTATGCTTGGACTCCAGGCTCCAGGGATCAGAGTTTTGGGACTCGGGGCCATGTTCTTCACTAGTGAGTGCTTTCAGTGGGTAAACACTAAAATCTGTATCATGTTTCCACAGGTGGAGAGAATATCTATCTTCAAGCAGAACAGGAGAAAGTAAGCATGTGTAATAAAATTAAAGTCAGTTTAAGAATGAGCTCCGGGTCTGGTGAACTCAGAATGTCTTCCTGGACACTTGATCCATTCCTCCACCCTCTCTGCTGGCCAGGCTGTTCTGCTTGGATGAGGGGTGCAGAGAGTGATGGCCAAAAAATGAGGTGGCCTTCCAAGTGTTACGACTCTCCGTCCATAGGCCAACTCTTTGGATGGACCCTACTAATTACAGTATTATGTTAGTTCAGCTTTCTATTTCAACAGTGCTTTGTGGTTCTTTTTTTAAAATTATTGCATTTTTGTTATTTGCATTTATATATACTCACTCCATGTGTATAGAGGACAAAGGACAACTTGTGGGAGTCAGTTCTGTCTACCATGTGGTCCTGTGCATTGAAATCAGGTCCTCAGGCGTGGGGACACAAAGTTTTACCCAATGAGCCATTTCACCTGTCTTGCTCTGTGGTTCCTTTGGGGAGTTTATATCCATTATCTCATCAGATCTTCCAACACTTGCAAGGGCAGACAGAACAGGTATTATTTCCAATGAAAGAAATTGAAGCCAAGGAATGTTTTGATGATTTAGCCAAAGCCACTCAATCCAGTAGACAGTAGAGCCAAACCAAGACTCAGGTTCCCTAGTTCCAAGTGCTAGTCTCTTGGAAGATTTGATAACCCCACTCTAAAAAACTGTCAGAAAGTCTTTTAAAAAAGATTTACTGGGGGGTGGGGAGGAGGGGAGGGAGAGGGAGCTGGGATTGACATGTGAAGCAAGCTTGTTTCTAATTTAGAGAGAGAGAAAGAGAGAGAGAATTTATTGGCTAGGTGGTAATACACACACGCTTAATCCTAGCACTTAAGAAGCAGAAGCAGGTGGATCTCTGTGAGTTTGAGGCCAGCCTGGTCTACAGAGTGAGTTCCAAGACTGCCAAAACGACACAGAGAAACCCTTTCTCAAAAAACAAAACAAAAGCCAGGTGGTGGTAGCACAAGCCTTTGATCCCAGCACTCGGCAGAGGCAGGCCAATCTCTGTGAGTTCGAGGCCAACCTCGATCTACAAAGCTACACAGGGAAACCCTGTCTTAAAAACGAGAGAGAGAGAGAGAGAGAGAGAGAGAGAGAGAGGACACTTGATAGAAACCAACAGAAACCCACCCCACTTTTTATTTTTTTAAACATTATTTTTTTATCTTATTTGCATTGGCATTTTGCCTGCGTGTATGTCTGTGTGAGGGTGTCAGATTTTGAAGTTACATACAGATAATTGTGAACTGCCATGTGGGTGCTGGTAATTGAACCCAGGTCCTCTGGAAGAGCAGCCAGTGCTCTTAATTGCTGAGCCATCTCTCCAGCCCCCACCCCACTTTTTAGAGATAGCATTTTATATAACTCACACTGCCCCCAGAAACTCTAGGTTGCTGACAGTGACCTGATCTCCTGATCCTCTTGCCTCTGCCTCCCAAGGACTGTAATTATAGACATTCATGTCTGATTCAGAGGCTTTCCCCTCACCTTTACTGGAAACAACATTTCTCCATATGGTTCTGGCTGGCTTGTGTAGACTAGGCTGGCCTCAAATTTACAGAGATGCAACTGCCTCCATCTCTGGAATGCTGGGATTAAAAATGTGTGCCACCATACCTGGCCCCATATTAATTTTTTGACAGCCAATAAAATGAAGGCCCTAATTTTAAGAGTCAAATGGCCAGAGGTAGAACCTGGGTGTCCAGGGTCCAAGTCCAGGACTTCTCTGACCCCATCCTGTAGCTCTTTGCTGGATACCATACAAAGCAAATTGAACAGATCTGGTCTCTGCCCTCTGAAAGTTTGAACTCAAATGGACAGCCAGGATGCTAACAAACATAAAAGACCAAAGTGATTTACAGTTAACATGTGCCAATAAATAAATAAGTAGATAAGGAGAGTCATGTTTACCTGGTCTTCTAGTATTCTTAATTCCAGTCAGGCAAAAAGGACAGTATTAGTAAGACTAAGGTTTAGAG